AGGGTTAACACAGGACTCCTCCCCGTCAGTTCACTGAGCAGACAAGCAGGAGCCATCTTGGCATTTGTATAGCTTTCACAGCATATCCAGGAGTGCTCCTTTTCAAGTGAAAAAAACAGGTTCGCCACTTAAAACAAACACACCAATTTTGAGGGTCTGATTTTGGGGGGAACCAAACTATACTGTATGTCAGAAAACAAGTGGGGGGGCGGTGTGCGCGTGTACGCACACGCGCATATATCTACCATATAGCATTGTATGGTCCACAGAATTGTTATATAGCTTCTTACTGTAATTATATCACTTGATGGAGCACAGCTGGAAAACATACATGGCAGATCCACACCAAAAGAAGCAAGCCCCCTGTGATCAGCATCCAGTAGGCTAGCAATATATGTTTTTGTGGTGTACTCTTACAGTAATAAATTGGCCTGGCATCTACTTCTCCAAGGTTTTAATACCCAATACAATAACAGAGTACCATCAATATATGCCTAATAGCAGATATAAAGTATCTGGTAGTAGTCCATCTCTCATAAAACCGCCTTTAGCCTTAATTCAAATCCATTGATTCCTATTCCAGTTAAACCTGAAGAACTTAATATGTCTTTTAATCCTTTTATTGTAAGCTAGGATAAAATTAATTTTACCCAAGAACTGTGCAAAGCCAATTAACATGATCTTTAGAGTTATTTAGTAAAGTGCTTCAAACTGTTAAATTTATCTTGACCTCGTGGTTGCACTCTCTGACTGCTTTTTAAATGAAGTAATCAATATCTCTCAGCCTTTTAAACAGTTTAAACTTCTGGAATATTTTTTCTGTTTTTTATTTAAATAGTTTAGGAAAATGTTTACTCATATTAAGGTATTCATATAAATATTTCCTCTAAATGAATATAGAATTATAGAATCATAGAATCTTGTTTTGGGTTTCAAAAGATTTTATGCTTTGAATTCGATTGTGTTCTTGTTTTGTTTTGTTTTGTTAAATTTAGGTAAATAATTAAGAAATATGTCACTTTCATTTGTGCGTAACACAAAGTCTGTTATTTTTAAAGCTTAAAATGTAGAACATTTTCTCTTTTCACCAGTGGAGCTTCTGTTTTCCACATAGGGCTATTTGAGGTTATTAATTTTCTTACTGTGATAGGGTGATCAACCGTCCTGTCAAGAAAATGGATCTCTGTGTCACCCTTTAGCATGATTAAATGGAGGTACGTTGCTGTGAGAAAATACCAAATTTTCATGAGACAAATGAAACTGTAGAAAGGACTACTTTTATAGACATTATTTCATTTTAAAATCTCCCATTTGGCTGTCAGTTTATTTGTAGGAAATCATTACAATTAATTGTATGTTCCCACTAATAATTCAAGGAAAGTAAAGGCAAAAACAATTGCTCACTCAGTGGTTTCTTTCTCTCTTCCCTTTTGAAGGGACAGAAAAACGCTGTACTACAGTGATAAGCAGGTTGAATAACAGTTAACTCTGTTACGTAGAGAAGATAATAAGATGCTCAATATTTTTTTTCTCCACTCACTTTGGTCACAGCAGTTGTTGCTTTGTTAAAATAGAGCCACAATCCTGAGATCTAGATGCTCTTGAGAATGATGACACCAAGTTGTGAGAATTGCTGAGATTTAAACTCCTATATGCTTAATACGTAGGTCATATATGCCATTGTCAAGCAATGAATTTTCTTAGTAATCTATATATGAATTATGGGATAGAAGCATCATAGCATCATTTTTAAAATATGACGACAACTGGGCGTGGGATAGTTAATTTTACCTTCAGAATGCTGGTGTTTGAAATAGGCACTTGTTAGTACGTAACTTGTTGTTTATGGAAGAAATTTGACAGGTTTATTGGATTAGGTGCATGATTTTAAGGATATTTTAAAACGTATCTTCCATGTTACAAGAAAGGGTTAACTTGATATTGCTGTAATCAAACAAAGGAAGAACAACAAGGCGGGGGGGGCGGGAGCTGGGGGAAGTTCACCAAGTGCCCCTGTTGTTTAATTTCCTACTGGAAGCAGCACATGTGTTTTTTCTTTCTTTCTTTCTTTTCTTTAAGCAGTGGCCATTGCAGAGGCTGAGCGGCTGGGGTCAATGCCTTGCCTATTGATCAGTATCCCTGCAGTCCCCTGCTCCAGCATCTGCTTCATTGGCTTCTTTCAGTGCCTGCTTCAGTACATTAGAATAGAAATCCATAACCAGAGCTGTGCTCATCCAAGCAGGGGAAGAAACTAAATTAAATGGTATAAAACAATCTTGGATCAGGAGTTTGTGCCAATTCATCTTGATCTAAGATGTCACACCGGGCTCTCTGTCTGAGCACCTGGGCTAGAGGCAGCCATAGTGAAAATAGATGGAGCTGCGATCATTCATTTGTCAGCTAAGGAGCACGGCAGCGGTTAGCAATTCCCTTCTGCAGAGGTCAGCTGACAGAACAATCAGTGCAACTGCAGAATAGAGCTTTCCTTTGAACTATTGTTATGGAGCATGCTTCTTGCTGGGATTGGGGGAGGGAAGCATGGTTTGCTTCCTGTTTCAAGTATGCTATATAAAGTGAACATTCATTATAGCAAATAAAACTCAGGTACTGCCTGTGCGTTGTGTAGCAGTAATTGTATATAGTTTATATCTTAGTATGCTCACTATTTGTATGTGTGCGCGCACGTGCATATAATATACACATATACATGCGTATATGCATATGTGGAGTGAGCGATCAAGAGTCTAGTGAGTTATTAACTATTAAAAGGGTTAAAGATAGTTTTGTTTATACTCTGTTTTCATCCTCCTTACTGGAATGGCAGTAGCTCTTCTCCTTCTCCCTCCCCCCCCATCATAGTTACATTTTTAAACTTTTTGTTTCTCTGATTGACATAGCTTCACAACAACCATTTCCCGATCTGAACTGCAATACTTGTTTTATACAGATTCTAATACTTAAGGGGGGTTTATTGTTTAGTTTTGTTTTCTTTTTTTTAAAGTACTACTTCTTTTTCTATTACCACAATAATATGAAATTCACTAGAAACTAATTCATACCTTGTTACTCTGCAAAAGCAATATTTCTCACAAAATACCAGGGGTGTCTTCCAACTTTTTAACAAAGATTTAACAATAGGCTATTATAGGAAGGATTAAGACTTCATTATGTTTGCAAACTGTATGGCCGTGCATTTTCTAGTGCGCCCTGAGCAAAGGGATGTGTCATTGCAGTCACAAGCTCCTTGCTGCTGCCAATTCTCTCCATGGCTGACTTGGACACAGGGTAACCCAGAGGTGGTCATATCCTGCCTCATCTGAGGGCAGTGACTGCATGGGGTGCTAGGCTTAGCAGGGGACAGCAGCAGCAGGCAGGTTTCCTCATTTTACACCTTCTCCCTGCTCTGCTCCCTCTGCATGTCCACGCTACTGCTGTTGCTGTCCCCAGCTGACACAGGCATGGTGAGAAGCTCAGAGTTGCTCTCACCTTGCCCCAACTTTGGGCTGCAGGGAGTAGCTATATAGGGAGCTGGGCTCAGATGGGGACAGAAGTGGTGGTATACATGTTCCTCCTCTAGCCAGTGAGGAATGTGGAAGGGGACAAAGAGCAGGCTCAGGGAGGAGGAACCAGCATGCCGCTGCCACCGTCCCCAGCTGAACCTGGCTTTCCATACAACTGCTCTCCACAGCTGCCAGATAGAACAGGGCAGGACGAGCTCTGAGGTTCCCCTCTCCCATGCCCGGGTCAGCCAGGGGCAGCAGCAGCAGTGAAAGGGCCTGCTCCCTAGTGTCCTTCATTAGTCTAGGGGCTCCAGGTCTGCATCTCTCCCATATCTCCCCATAGTCTTAGAGGTGGTATGCTGCACCCTCCTTTAGGAAATCCTGGAACTGCCCAAGGCTAAGAATTATTATTAGTAAAACTGAGTCATGATCAAATATATGGCTGCGGTACAATTTATGTTGCAGTCTCCTTTGTTTTTTTAGATTTGTTCTTTTTTTACTCAATAAATCACAAATCTTTGTAATTTGCAGTGCTTAGAATTAACAGAAAAGGTAATTTGGGATGTGTTAGATTAATAAATTAACAGATCTATATTGCAATGAGGCTTTCTCTTGATTTTTAAAAAAATTACTTGTTAATATACTGTAATTTGCATCATGACACAAGTTTGTGTTTGTTTTGTATAATTCTGTGTACTGATACTGTTTGTTAAAACTAATAATTAGCAGATGCTAGTAGCATGAAGATGCCAATAGTATCCTCCTTACTGGAAAGGCAGGAACTGTTCTTTTCCCCCTACCCCCATCATAGTTACATTTTAAAACTTTTTGTTTCTTTGCTTGACACAGTTTCACAACAACATCCTGATCTGAACTGGGATAGCTGTCTTATACAAATTCTAATACTTAAGGGTTTTTCATTCATTACAATGAAAAATATATGGCTTTAAAAGTGTCTGTTTAAAATTTGCATACAATTTCTGTGAAGATAAAAACTTATTTTTCCTAAAACACTTGTTTGAACAAGAATCCAGTTCAGAATTCACTTTCTGAAAATGATGATTTAATAACTATAATTCTATGTACATTTCTTTTCTTTCCAATGACCAAACTTGCAGGAACTCTGAAAATGGAACAGTTTTTTCTCATGAGGGGTTACTTTGTTTGTGAAAGTTGCACAGCGAACTGCAGCAAGAGGGAGAGTTAAGGGAGAGTTACTTAGACTTCCAGCCTGGACCGAGCTCTTAAAAATTGTCTGATTCTATACCTTCTTGTGGAGTGATCCTCTGAAGTTAGATGATTGTGTCTTTTTTTTTTTTCTTCTCGTTTGATTTTCAGTATATGTATGACCATTTTTAATTCCTCTTCATGTTCCTAGCTGTAGATCTTCCAGTTGATGGAAAGAACTGTTTTTTAATCCTTCTAAATATACAAAGTTCAGTTGGAGTGGCCTTTACTTCCTTAGCTGTCATCCCTGATGTTCCTTACTTTTTGTTGTAGGTTGTCTGTCTAGCCTCCCACAAATTAAAAAGATATCTACATCATATGAAGAGAGACGGAAGCAAGCTACTGCTATTGTCTTGCTAGGAGTAATTGGAGCAGAATTTGGAGCTGAAATAGAACCTCCAAAGTTACTGACCAGACCGCGCAGTTCCAGTCAGATTCCTGAAGGGTTTGGTTTAACCAGTGGTGGATCAAATTATTCCTTGGCAAGGCATACCTGTAAGTACTTTAAGCCCTGGGCTCTGAATATTTATCATACTTTACCTGTTTACAATTTTTGTTTCTTTGTTTCAATACATTTTGTTTGCTACTAATTTCATGTATGGAGAGTAGAGTAAAAGGAAAAAAGTATTAAACCTTGGGCTACTTAACACATCAAGATGAGGTAACCAGAAAATGAATACTGAAATATATACCTGAATAAGATTTAAGTTTTTGAATATATGGTGGCACTTTCAAAAGTACCTATGAAGTTAGACTCCCACCTCTCACTGAAAACAAATAAAAGTACAGTAAAACCTGTGTTAAGCAGCACTTTATTACCTGGAAAACTCTCTTAACCAGCATCCATGCGATGCAGCAAAAGCAAAACTGGAAGTACCGCTTCCGAGAGACTTCCCATTTTGCTGCCACGAGCTGAGTTTTTCTTTGCCACTTTTTTGGCCAACGGCCCAGGGCAAAGCAGCCTGTGTGGGGAAAAAGCAGCCTGCACGGGGCTCCCCTCCCTGTCCCCTGGCACACTGATGCCGGGGAGTGCACCAGACGGTGCACATTTGATTAACTGGAATATTTGATTAACCGGCATACCCCATTCCTGGGGGATGCCAGATAACACAGCTTTTACTGTACTTAAAACAAAGACTTTCAATGAGAAAGCATTAGGCATTTCTACTTTTAGACTAAATGATCTAGATTTTTAAGCATCCATTTGTTTCTGCTTTGTTTTTCTTTCCTGCAAAATACTTTTGGCTTCTTAGAAAAAGTGCTAGGTTGGAGGTGCATGGCTAGGAGACCATGAAATCTAGTCCTACTTCTCTGACTTAGTGGGCAGTCTACACATGATGCTACGTCGCCGTAGTAATGTGCTATGGTGACATAACGTCCGTGGGCAAAAACCATGATGCTGCTGCTGTTACTATAGCAGTGCGCTCCTTTGGTGTAGCATGTTGCTATGGCAGTGTAGCAGCTTAAAATAACCATGCACTGCTGGCATGGTGTAGTATGGGCTGTTACTTAACCATCATTTAGTACTTCCAAAAGGCGCCGTAGGGGCACATGTAGACATGCCCACTGACGTTTAATTTTCAGTATTTCACAACTGTTCTTGAGCAAGGCCTCCTGGCCCTATCCAAAGGCTGGCAAGTATAACATACTCCCTTCCCCTATACTTTATTGATGCTGTAATTGAGGGTCAGCAGGCCACACAGTCATATCTGGAAGAGTTGGAACCAAAGAGCTTGTTAAAGGTATTGAAAATATAGTGAGAGGTCTGGATGTACTTCATTAGGAGATTTGTGGAGGTCATCACGTCCAACCCTGTGCTCAGAAAAAGGATCATTTCTGTTTAAAATGTTCCAGTCAAGTGTTTTCTAACCTACTCTTAAAAACTTTCAAGGAAGGAGTTTCCATAAGCTCCCTAGGAAATCTGTTCCATTGCTTGACCTCCCTCACAGTTGAAGTTCTTCCTAATATCCAACTTAATTTCTCCTGTTGCATTTAGTGTCCTGTCCCTTGCAGCCAAAGAAAATACTCTCTCTCCATCCTCTTTATAATCACCAGTCAGGTATTTGAAGGCTGTTGTTTAAATTCTAACCTCCGCTCTCCACCCTGGTCTTCTCTTCTCCGGGGTTAATAATCCCAGTTCATTCAACCTTTCTCTGTAACTCATGTTTCCACTAATCACTTATGTTGCTCTCTGCTGGACCCTTTTTAATTTGCCCATGTCTTTCTTGAATTGTGGTTCCTGAAATTGGACACAGTACTGCAGGTGAGGTCTCAATAGAGCAGAAGAATCGCTTTCCCTTGGCTTGCAAGAGATACTGCTGTTAATAAAATTCAGTATGCTATTGGCCTGTCTTCCAGCAAGGGAATACTGTTAATTTGTATTCATCTTATCGTCCACTATAACTATAAATGACCTAACCAGTCATTTCCCAATCTGTATTTGTGCAAGTGATTGTTCCATCCTGAGTGCGGGACTTTTCATTTGCCCTTATTTAATTTCTTTCAGTTAATTTTGGACCATTTTTCCAATTAATCAAGGTGATTCTGAATCTTAATCCTGTCCTCCAAAATGTCTGCAACTCTATCCAGCTTGATGTCATCTGTATAGTTTCAGTGTACAGAAGCCTTCCTTCTCAGTCCAGCTTCAAACCAGAGTCAGCCCTTCAAATGCTCAGGGACTTTGAATATGTGAAAAGTTCCTAAATTAATAATCTTCCCTACAGTTGCCAGTACCATTTGATGATACCACTTGTAAGACCTAATAGAAGCACATTCAACAACACTGTACCAGGTTCAGTAGCACCTTCTGGACAGATTCCTGAGGACACTGATATGCATCTCTCTCTAGTGAAGGAAGACAGGCTCAGTATTTTCACCGATCTTCAGCATCTATAATAGGCCACACATGAGAGATTACAATATACCACAATAGATTCAATGCCAGAAATTTGTAGATGACTGTCAACTGTATATAAAAATGTATTAATAATTTATAGTAATGGCTGTCTTCTGCACTAGTGCAACCTCTGCAAGATGCCCCAGTACTTGGGTAGGAAAAAAAAAAGCAAATTATTGAAAAAGCAGTGTAGTGGCCTGGCTCGAGCTCAGTCCAGGAGGGAAAGGAGAGATGGTATTAGGAAAAGGTGAAAACCTTACTCTGAGCTACCAAGTACCCTAAGCATACCATGGATTCAAAGTGGGACAAAGCTTCATAGACCCCCTCACTGCTTTTGGTTGTACTGAAACAAGCAATGCTTTTATTGAGCTCAGCTAGCCAAGAAACTGTCCTCATACATGGGATGCTAGGGCCCTGCTACCTGATCAAATTAAAGCTGGATAGATACCATCTATAAAGTTGTTTCACACTTTCAAGCACTAACTTTGTACTGATTGGCTCTTTTTGTAGCTGGATTGTCATTTTTATCATATGATAATTACTTTGCACATCTGGCCAGTCTAAATGTATTGTGCAGTTCACCAGTTAATTGCGTAATATATGTTACGGCCTAGTTACAGCAGTCCATGCATTTGTGACAGCCACCCTGTGCTATGACAAATGAAAATGCTGATCCTGGGCAAGGTCTGATGTCATTCTTAATACCATGGTGCATCTGAATCCTCATTTTTTTTGCATTCATTTCTTACTCCTCCCTCCTCCACAAGGTAAAGCATCATCCAAGTTTATGCATCAGGTTAAAGATTGGGAGGATGAAGGGAATGGAGTAGATGTGGTGTATCTAGACTTTAGTATGGCTTTTGACAACGTCCCACATGACCTTCTCATAAAAACATTGGGAAAATGTGAGGTAGGTAATGCTACTGTAAGGTGGATAGACAAGTGGCTCAATAGCTGCAAGCAAAGAGTAATTATAAATGGATCCATGTCAGAATGGCAGGAGGTTTTGAGTGGAGTCCCACAGGGGTCTGTCCTAGGCCCAGTGCTGTTCAATGCGTTTATTAACAATTTGGATGCTTGAATGAGCTTTTTGAGCAAATTTACAGACCCAAAACTTGGAAGGTTTTTGAATATGCTGGAGGACAAGAGCGCTATTCAGAAGAATCTTGACAGATTGGAAAGCTGTGCTATACAGCCAACAGGATGAAGTTCAGTACTGACTACTGCAAGGTACTGCACCTCAGGAAGAATGATCAAAACCATAAACATTAAGATGAGTGACATCTGGCTAGAAGGCAGCACTACAGAGAAGAATCAGAAGTCCTTTGGATCACAGACTTGACATGAGTCTCCTGTGTGATGTAGTCACACAAAAGGTGAATGCAGTTTTAGGCTGCATCAATATAAGCAGTAGGTGCAAGACACAAGGAAGGTGATAGTGTCTTTACTCAGCACTAGTTAGGGCTCCTCTAGAGTATTGTGTGCAGTTTTGGGCTCCGCATTTTAAAAAGGACATAGAGAATTTAGAAATGGTCCAGAGGCATGTGATAAAAATGATAAATGATTGGAAAGACAAGTCATACAAGGAGAGGTTGAAGGAAAAAGGCATGTTCAGCTCGTGGAAAAACAGTTTGAGGGGACATGATAGCAGTCTTCAAATATCTGAAGGGCTCCCATAAAGATGAAGAAATATGCCTTTTCTCTCTAGCTTCAGAGAGTAGGATGTGGACCAATGGCTTGAAATTGCAGTGAAATAGGTTTAAACTGACTATTGGGAAAATCTGCAGTGTTAGAACAGCAAGGCAATGCCTAGACTGCCTAGGGAAGTTGTGGAATATCCATCATTGAAGGTTGTTAAGAGGTTGGATAAGCATTACTTAGGGATGACCTAGGACAGGGCTGTCCAACTTCTGGGCAGCCAGGAGCCACAGTCGGCAGTTCCAGGAGCTCCAAGCCCAGGGCCACTTGCAATGTGGGTGATCTCACCAGGCTCCTCGTTCCACCTCCCTCTGCTGCTGCGCAGGCAGCCCTGCTTCCTCCCCACTCCTTCCTTGCAATACAGTAAGCCTTACTTCCCCCACCATATATACAGCACTTTCCCCCTCCTCTCTTCCCCAGCCACATGTCCACCTTCAGTGTGGGCAGCCTGGCTCTTGCCTTTCTCACAGACAGTGCATGCAGCACAGGCATCCCAGCCCCTTCCCACTGCACTGCCCCTTCTCCTGGTGCAGGGGAAGGAAGTAGAAGCCAGAGGAGGGCAGGGGAGCCTGAGGAACCCAACTACTGTGGCAAGCCCAATCATGGAGAAGCAGCGGCAGCCATGTTGGGAGCCCACAGGCCACATGCTAACCCTTTGGGGCCTTCTTGCAGCCCGTGGGCCACCAATTGAATAGCCCTGATCTAGGAGCATCTATGCCTGGACTGGTCTGTAAAGAGTAACAAGTGGATTGCTAGGAGATAATGAGAAGAGCTCTGCTGCCTAAAGCAGGTGGATATTGGTAAGGACCATGCTCAGCAGCTAGACAGTTGAGCAGATGTCCACAACTGGCTTAGTTATCCCAGTTCTTTTAATCTTTTTTCATAATTCTGTGTAGGAGAT